TTTTTTTAAGGGATTGAAAAACTGAAGGCGACCATTTTCAGCCGTGTGTGATTGCAAAACTTCTTTCCAAACAAGTCTTTGAACTAGCTGCTTCTAACGTGTGGACTTCAAAATTGAATGGAATAGCAAGAATACCTCTGCTCTTACGTCCAAATCAAGAAATGGAAAGAGATGAATAAAAGCCTAGCCTTTCCAGTGAACTACAACAAGAAGACTGAGCTCGTGCAGATGGCTGCGCGGAAGGCGCTACCTGACCATTCCAGTGATAGTAAGTGCTTACAATGAAAATACCACTAACAAAACCAATGAGTTCCTATAGACAGTCGTGAATAGCCGGCTTTCGTAAATCCTAAGTAAACAATCCTAGCAAGAGCAAAGAGTAATATATCACCTTTACTTTCTGCTATGAAAGTCGTATAACGCGACGTTCTTCGTGAAGTTAGAATCTCTTTTTATTATGAACTCTCCTACAGGGGCCAAATATTCTGAGTTTATAAACAATCAATTTTTGTGATAACCTAGAAGAAGTGGCGATAGGCGAAGATTTTACAGAGATCGGAGGGGATCTCACTTTTCATAACATTCACAACGATGAGCTCCCGCTCTTCTGCATGAAGTAGTTCTTAGCAGGTGCTCTCTTCTGCATGAAGTAGTTCTTAGCAGGTGAAGTTATATGGTAAACAGTAGTTGTATAGTAATCATCTTCATCCTCATTTTTCACCATTTCATCTGGCAGTGAACTGAACTGAACAAACTCGCAGCTAATACTCAACTGTATCTTATCTACAATCTTCAGCATCATTTGAATTCAACCCATATGGGAGAAAGACCTCTAGCGGACTTACCTTCTTCTGCCTCCATGAGAGCTTTCACTGCAGCGTCCTTGTCACTTGACTGAGTCCAAGCGAATGCTAAAACCACAGCTAATCAATTGCTAAGTTCCCAAAGGTGCTAACATGGAAAAACCTGACCACCCTTGGCAGAGCTCACTTTAACATGTTAGTATAATCAAAACCTTGTGCTAACTTGTCGACTCACCTCACCTGCACTGCCTGCACTCCTGTTGGCCACCTGCTAACTTGGTGGGCACCCATACCTTTCCATTTGTGTCCGTAGGATGGCTATGTAGCATTGGGTCAAACTGTTCCTTCGCAGTGTCAGCGATCAACGCGGTAGTGTAGGTTGCCGGAAATGTCTACCGTAATAAGTGTAGCGCAGATGTCTCCAGAAAAGTACAAAGGCAGGAAATCCGAAATCTTCGTCGTTAGTGCGACATAACCCTCCGGACACAATATAGTATTGTATGACTGGTTCCTTAAATTTACTGATCAAGAAAGTTTAGGTTTCATACTGTACCATCCAAAGTTATGCCTCCTAACTGAGACGCCAAATTCCTTGCAAGTGTGTATATCGAGTTGACGGCATACTAAGATGTTTACCCTATGGTCGACCTATCTGTGCATAGTCCGCGAACATGGCATCTCTCATAGTAGAGCGCAGAGCGGTGAGCGTCGATCAGCGACGCTTGCTCCGTTGATAATGCCGGTCATCGATCGTTATGCACGCGGTGAACAATTTCTTGCCCGGGTTCTCATGGCAGTGTTATTCTCTTTTTATTTGTTGTATTTTGTATAATGATTTGATCTTTTTTCTTTGTTGACTATGATATGATATGGCTGCTAGAGGCACAGTTCACGATAATTTTGTGTTATCCAGATTATGACGAAAAACGAAAGAGAAGTTGGAGAATGGTGCGATGGAGGCGATGAAAACACGGAAATCTGCTGTTCACATACTGAATTGTAGAGCACATTAGTTTTTATCAAAAATTGCAAACCCGGTCTCACCATGACTATGTCACTCAGTCTCCCTACTGTAAAAACCTACTAGGAACAATTAGCGGACGTGTTTGCATGACTGCATGCAGACTTCGACGTCTCCCGTCCGTCCGTTCAACGCGTGGTACGACGGCGGTTCCAGAAAGGTGTTGAAAGCGTCTAGTCGGTATTCAACACTTTCCTACGACCGCGGTCGCGGCACGCACGCGACCACCGACGCAGCACGCGTTAAACGGACGGACGGACGTCGAGGTCTGAAAGGCAGCTGTCTAGTTCTGCATCGTAGCTGCCTGGTTCTTAAGAAATCTTAAACGCTTAATTCCCCTTCACCTGCAGCCATGTTCGTGTTGCGTAAAATCAGACATTCGAGTCAGGACCTGCACGTGGGTTACTGTAAAACGAAGAACCACCTGCGAGGACACGTAGTCCTAGCCGAATTTTCGTTGTGGTCGTTAACCTATTTTTTACAGTATTTCTTTTCAAAGTTTTTTCTTGGTGAGATGCAATGCACTCAGTGATGTGAAAAGAATTCTTTCAATTGGTTTTATAACGAGCACCCCAGAAAACAGATAATTCCCGTGAAGAGCTCATCTATGGATTCTTGAACGGCAGTTAGTATACGCTTGAAGAGAGTGAAACCTGATAGCAATAAAACCATCATGGTTAAAAAGGCAATGATGAAATAATTTTGAAAGGTGTAATTGAGCGAAAATGAAGAAATGCTCCTACCAAACTGAAAGGCTGCTTTCATGGTACATGGCTTGGCGAGTCGCGCGATCGGTCGCGCGACTGATCGCTCGCCAAATCGTGAACTATGAAAGCAGCCAAACGAAGCGATCCACAGGGCTTGTAGCGATCTCTCTACATTGGGAAGAAAATGTCCTACCGTCGAATTTGCAATATATAACGGTTCAACGTTATTGCTGGCAACAAATTTACAACTAACTGGACTTGTTTGTAGATTGGTGTCACCACAGTAACTGTTGGTGTAGCCATCTTTGAGCGCTTCCTGTCTGAGCTGTCGTCCATAGACTCTGTAACAATTGTTCTTCTGATTGGAAGTTAATTGTTTTGCTTACTTAGATAAGTGAAGATAGAANAAAAATTCGCCCAGTGAGAACCCGCAATACCGAATAGTCATAAGTTCCTCATTTAACGTAAAATTACACAAAAAAGGAAAAGGGCATAGGATATGAGTGGAGAAGACAGCAGAAAGATCATATCGTGTTTTTTCTATGCCTGAAGAGTAATTTCACATACGACCGATTTTCCCAGAAAGGCAAAATCGGCCTACAAAGCTGACTACAATTATGGTTGAAGTTCAGAGTCGTCTGTAAACAATCTTATGTCACAAACACCACAACAGCTGGATTCCCGCAGTTCGACAGAGAAACTCAAGCATTTCCAGTCCGAGCTCGATGTTCAGCTGAAGTTATGCAAAAAGATTGTAGAAGAGGTAACGTTTTTGCTTTCAAAGCTGGCAACAGGTCGTTTTCATACTTTGAACAACGTCATAGAATAAGTAAATACCATACCAAAATTAGATCGAATCATATTATAATTGTTTTGATTTTAATCATTCAGGTCTTTAAATTGTCCACTTTTCTGACTTCCGCTAAAGTAGCAACGTATCATCACGTTGTGGTCACGATAATCAGAAAGTTCCCCCGGTTTAGGAGGTTTTGATGAACAATGGGGCATTTCTGTTGCATACGTGGTATGGCTTTTATCCCATGCTTACGGTGACCTTTTATAGTTAGCGAATGGTGAACGAATCATTTTATGCTTAATCAATCCCTGGTTCAGGTCAGATATTTTCTCTTTCCTTCGCCTTTTCTTGATCTTGTTTTTTCTGCCCTGACACAAGCCATACAGCCCCCTTCATGTGGTTTCTTGCTTGCACATTCATTTGTTCGTACAGCAGAAGAATATAAAGCGCTAGAGGTATAAGGCACGTTAATGCGAGACAACTGGCATGGGGTTGCCGCGCTCTGTGGGCGGATCGAGCATGACGCCACGTTCGTGGAAACCCCGCAGTAACGACGCTATTTAGGTTTATTTATATCTAGCGTTTTGCTGGTTTTAGGGGACAAAAACAAGTCGCATTGGAGCTGAGCAAATTCGACACGTGGATGATTTCATAAAAACATTTCGTATGCTGCGTACAGTGACATTGGAGGAAATTTGTAGAACCGTACCTGAAATTGAAGACTATGATCGGTCAACCTTGTCACAAATGCTACAGACAAGAAAAGATATTGTAAGTGACCCATTTCTTGTGCATCGTAGGCAATTCAGTAGTTACTCATGGTGATTTTCGAACTTTGATCTTTTTTATGTAATTGCCATTACATCAATAAGTTTCAGAATGACAAATTGGATCAATTGGTACATCATGTGGACGAGCTTATAGAGCATCTCAAGAAGAAATATACACAATTATCAAGCTGCAAAAATAGCCGTGTGGCTTCAAGGTTGTCAAGGAGTATGTTAGACTATTTCTTTTTCCATATTTTTCTTAAAAGTTTTGAGTTTATTGGCTAGTATGATGCTTTTGACTGGAAAAATCGACATTGGTGAAGGTGTCGCTTAACTAACTGACTGTTTTACGACTGAACGAATTGGACGATTCTTCCATCAGGCCTGCTGAGAGGCTGCAAATTGTTTCTGAATTATTGTACAAGATTATCAGGCGGTTTGATAGGATTCTAAGAGTGAGACGTAATCTGATCTCCTTTGCCGGTTACTTCCTTTTTACGCAAACAGCTGTTAAGTAGTGGTCATCGCATTAAATGTCCATCTATCTGTCGCCACGAACTCTGTATATAGGTGCCGGGAGAGGGGCTTCACAAATTGTTCATCATCGGTTTTTCCAAAACTGAATTTTTTCTGAGTGTAATCTAAAGACGTGTTGTTTAATTTTTTTTTATCGACTTAGCGGTGTCAAGCAACTTTGCAGAACGAACTCGCCTGTTATAGGGCGATGTGGCTCAGAATCAACGTTTCGATATCCAGCTTATGATTGCAAAAGTGAGTCTCATTATTCAGCATCCTTGTTTTGTTGGCATTTTCGGTTACTAACGGAAATACTCTATAGTAGACACTGAAATTTGATTTTAATTTCACTCCAGTTTATCTTGTCCATGCCTTTAATTTAGGGAAATGACATGTATTCTCTCCATTTGTGCTCATTTTTATCCCCTAGAATGATTGATCATGACCGGTACCTCCTTCATGCTATAGCATAGTACCTAGTAGAGGAATGCAAGTCAATTTGGAGCTATTTTCATATCCTTGTTGACTGGTTACCTTCTTCTTTTGCAGAGCTATGGTTACCTTTTTCTTTTGTAGAGCTACCTGGTCCGTCTGGGTGTTCTTACTGGAATTGTCGAACGAACACCAACGTGGTTGACGACGGCGAAACTGCCTTCATGGTTCTCGAAGATGCAAAATGATGTAAGCTTTACTTATAATGTTTATTTTCTGGATTTCAATCGTGGTGGCTTTTGTGATGATAGATCCGGTAGTTCAGCGTAGATTGATTTTTAAACAGATGGTTTTTGTGATTACGAACGATTTTCGGGTGTTTAGAACACAGTTTTTCTTTTCAAATTGCCCTGCTTTCCTTTGCAGGTTCGTAAGACAGTGAAACACCAAGCAGGTTATGGATACGGGGAATTTTATTTGACATGGATCTACCTCGTTTGTGATTCATCATTTCACTTCAGTATTTTTCGGTTTATAGATTTTTTGAATGCATGAGTTGAAGTAGGTAATAGGAAATTATATAATGTAACGATGCATTCTCTTTGGCTAGTGTACTTATATCCAAATGCCAGAGATTTTTGGTAGAATGTTCACGTAATCAAGACTATGAAGCGCAGTGTTTCATATACTCTCATTTCTTCAGACAACTGATTAATAGTACAATGTCGAAGTTAGAATAGTCCTTTTTCTAAGTTCATTTACAAGTTTACGGTAAGAGAGAAGTTTTATTGCAAATATTTGTACCACATGTATATAAAAGTATGCATCCTTGTCATTTAATACATTTACTTCAATTCTGTAAGTGGACACTTAACGTCATGATCGGTTTGGTAGTAAACCTTATTGGACATTTCTTTTCCAGAGAACCGACAAATTAATTTCAATAGCGGTCAGTTTATGATAGCTGGCTTTGCCTAACAATTTGTTCAGTCGAGCCTCATTCGAAACTTCGCCATTTTCTGGTTTTTTTTTT